CATATTCAAACGAGCAAGAAAGTAACAAAAATACTTGATGAAACCTACAGTATGCTACACAATATACCTGGTCATCAAAGGCAGACTATTGGCATAATTGAGGTCTTGAGTTTGTCGGGTGAATTAGGGTAATCTGGGTCATTTTTGCATGTTTGACTGCCACCTCAACACTTTACACAATCAAACAAGACTTCATCCTATGACAGCCCAGTTAGAATATGGTACAGTTAGCATAGACTTTGTTGGCTTGGACACATCGGAGCTTTCCCGACGTTCCCAAATGTCCCAGAATACCCTATTTTACCCTAGTGTTTTTCTTGAAGCTACAGGAGATAAACACCTGTATTTAACAAGATGCATGTTGTGCTTGACACGGCAACATTCTGTCTAGATGTGCTGATTATTTGGATGCAGCTGAGAAAAGCACGGAAAGTGAGGGTTATCTGGCTGGTTTCAAGTGCCTCTTTCAAGTCTTCCCACTTCATCAGAGACCTAAACGCAAAAATCAACAAGACAAACGAAATTTCACCTCAGTCATCAATTCCACAAAATGCTCCCGAGAGTTCAGTTGCCTGTCCTACTTTGGCAATGGCTTTCTCTCCAATGAGTCCTGCAAGAGTCATGCCTTTCTCTCGGTTGTATTTGGGGCGAAATACAAACCCCCAACTAAACAGACAGAATCTTGACTCTCCCGTTAATACAAGTGGTTTTCGAGGTCCATCTAATAGCTGTTCTAGTAAAGTTTTGGCATCAGCTTTAATGGCTTCTGGTTGAGTCAAAATCAGGAATGGACGTTCTCGTTCAGTCCTCATTCATAGAAAACCTCTGTAGGAAACAGTTCGGTGTCTATATGAGTGCTGTGGTCCATTCCCCTTGACGGAACAAACGGCTGGTGCTTCAGGTAAGTGAGCAGGTGATGATGTGGCAGAAAGGGGCGTGGCTTGCTGACAGATTCTCTGTATCGGCCATGACCCCATGGCGGCGGGGGTGTGATATGGATTATGGGGGCAGGATCAGGGCCCGTTCTCATTGTAATGGAGTGAAATGGGCCGGTCTCTCTGGACGGGCATGTAAGGCCAGTTGTAGCTGGAGCCGGAAAGCAGCATGTCCCGCAGCAGGGTCTCGATGGGCGTTTTGCCTACCAGTCGCACGAAGAACAGCTGTTCGATAACAGGAGAAGACACGATGCGCAGGGAGGGCAGCCGTAACAACAGGCGGCCGAATCGGTTGGGTTGATTGGGGTATTGGTTCCGCACATACTCCTCGAGAGCGCACTGGGACTTTTCCTGGATACTCTCCACATGGGCCACATCAGACAGACCCATGGCATCTGAAGAA